ATATATTAAAAACTGAACATTCTCTAAATTCACAAAATTTAAAATATGCCTTTTACCTTCTTTTCATGTGACACTGTACAGGCACAACATAACACAGAAGTGTTTACAAGTACTTATTAAGTACTTCATAAGGTCAACAATAAAAAACCAAAACCAAAACTGTTAGCTTTTAAACAATGTGTTAGGTAGTCGTAGTATAATCAATTTCTTAAATTTACCTTTATTAATATTTATAAAAAGATCAGCCTACAGAAATAAAGCTCACCATTCATTTAAAAACAAATGCTGGATATGTTGTTTATTAACAAAGGAATAAATCATCTTAGCTGCTCTTTCAAAAAAAATTTTTTTTTAAAGTAAAACTACAAGCAGCATTGCATCAAGAAAGATTTCACGGATAGATACTACATTCTAAACCTTTTAAAGCTTTAATGATTTTAATTTTTTAAGTGTCTAAAACAGACTTTTTGTTTTAAAAGAACCCAATGACTAAGTATCCATGGTAACTTATTTTCTTCTTGATAGACAAAAGTAATTAAAAATAATCAATGATTTAAAAAATCAAGATTTTTTAAAATTTGTTTTCAAGTAGGTATTTTTAGCTCATTTTAAAAAACTTACCAATGTCTCAATTTCCTTTCCAAGTTCTTTTCTAGGACCATGATGGACCTCTTATTTTTTCATTTCATTGCTATTTTATTTCATTGATAATTTTATTAAAACTGGAAAAATTCTGCTAGAAAAAATTTCATTACACAAACTTCAGGATACTTAGACATGATTCATTTACGAACGTAAAAATATTTTGTGCATATGCTCTATGTACAACATGTGAACCAAGTATGAAAAAAGAGAAGCAAGCTCCTTTGCCTCACTGCAACTTAATCCCCTTGCACTCATTATACTAAACGTGCCTACCCTTGAGTATTCTCCCTCACCTTGAGCTTTCACACAAAGCTCAAATACTTTCCTAATAACGAAGTAATGTGATGTGGTATAAAGAGCCACGTAGCAGGTTTGTGACCAAAGCCTTGGACTTAACTTCTCTAGGCCTCAGTTTTCTCTCTTGTAAAATAAAATAGTTGGACTACATCTCTTCCGTTTAAATAGGCTATCAGGGACCTAATTTAGGACCTGCTATATTACTTATAACAGCAAAAACCTGTTAACAACCTACTGTTAATCAATATTCCAAACAATGGAACACTATACGACCCTTAAAAAAAAAGTTGTAGATCCATATGTGCTAATTTAAAAGGATGTCCCAGATAGCCTGTTAAAAAAACAAAGGGCAAAATGCAGATAGTAGGACTTGATTTGTATGTATTTTAAGACAAACATACATATACACATACAGACACACAAGAAACTTCAAAATGGTTATCAGTGGGGAACAGGGTGTTAACTTTTTTTTTCACCCCTTAGCATTTTATATGTGAAAAACATTTTTAAATAATAAACATGTATTATTTTTATGAAATGTTTTTGAGTTTTTTTTTTTTTTTGAGGAAGACTGGCCCTGAGCTAACATGTATTGCCAATCTTCCTCCTTTTCTCCCCAAAGCCCCAGTAGATAGTTGTATATCATAGTTGTACACCCTTCTAGTTGCTCTATATGGGACGCCGCCTCAGCATGGCTTAATGAGCACTGTGTAGGTCCGCGGCCAGGATCCGAACTAGCGAACCCTGGGCCCCCGAAGCAGAGCATGCGAACTTAATTGCTACGCCACCAGGCCAGCCCCTGAATTTTTTAAAGAAACTAAAAGGAAAGGTCTGCTGATCCAGGTACTATAATTAGAAAAGACCTGGGTTCAAATACTGGCTTTGCTATTTACCATCTGTGTGATGTTATTAAGTTACTTAACCTCAATTTCTCCATCTGCAAAAAGGAGTTAATAGTACTAACCTCATACAACTGTTGGGAGGATAAAAGGAAATCATGCATGTAAGACACTCAGCATAGCACATATAGGACAACAACTATTAGCAGCTATTACCATGATTATTATGAATATTATTATAAACTCCAGAAACTGAGTGTCTTTAGAATCAGATTTGACAATTCACTCAAGGATGACCAATCTCAAAGGCAACCAATTTCCTTTACCCAAAATTCATTCAATCTGATCAGCAGAAGAAAGAGCACATTTATTAATTTAAGGTTAAAAAAAAAAAAACTATCACAGGTAGCAGGTGGGCTGATGGACATGGTAATCAGAGCTAAGTTTGGGTTTTAATTAAGCAACATCGAACTAGAATAGCCTTCTTCATTTATATGGATACCTATTCAAGAAACCAGAATACTGATGGGTGAGACCCTGATCTTTACAAAATGCTGAACACAAAGGAATACAGTTTTTTGAGTAATTCAAGTTTCCAAGGTTAGTTTTTTCTTATTTTAATATACAACAATTTCTCATTTTCCTAGAAATTTATGGCACTGATAGTTCATGCACATAATTTACCAATTAATTACAAATAACATGTCAATCAAGTGGCAGATATAAAAACGAAATCTCCATAAAAATAAATTCCAAAAAACACACTGAAGGGTAATTTTGAGTGGACCTTTTCCTCACAGAATTTTTAAAAATTCAGACTGAATATTATCAAATCAAAATACTCCAAGTTGTAAATCTGGCCTTTATACAAAGGCGCTCTCACAAAGTACCACTCTAACAATATTCAATTTAATTTCTCCAAAAGATCAAGAACACATCCTAAATTTCTATATAACACCTGAAAGGGTATTGCATTAGGGTAAATTAAATCAATATGCAGTACAACTGGTTTTTGAATCCATCTTACTACAATTTTTTTTTTTTTATAATTTTATTTATTTATTTTTTCCCCCAAAGCCCCAGTAGATAGTTGCATGTCATAGCTGCACATCCTTCTAGTTGCCGTACGTGGGACGCGGCCTCAGCATGGCCAGAGAAGCGGTGCCGCGGTGCGTGCCCGGGATCCGAACCCGGGCTGCCAGCAGCAGAGCGCGCTCACTTAACCGCTGAGCCACGGGGCCGGCCCCATCTTACTACAATTTTAACAGGCCTTCCTGGTATTAAAGAAGTTTCAGTATCAATGATGGATTCAAGTTTGGATTACCCCAATTACAATTATGAAACGGAAACAAAAGATCACATACACGTTTAATCCTTTTCAGTATGAAAATAAACTAGGCTCCATTTAACAATCACTGTAAATTTGTCAGGATTTAAACCTGTAGACTAGTGACTATTTCAAATCACACAAGTAGTTGCATTTGAATACATGAAAGAGTTACTGTAGCTTTCCTGACAGTGACCTGAAGTTCCAACCAAAAAAGCAATGGCACCTCAATGAGGCTCTAAGAACTGCATGCCTACTTCACAGATCAATGCACTGTGCCGAACTGGTATTTGGAGATTGTATTGAGCTAGCTACATGAAAGCAAAGGGAAAAGACGGAGAGAGAGTTTATAAAAAAACAGTTAACACACCCATCATCTATAAGCGCTATCAGAAACACATTTTACATTACACACATTTCTAATTTTCCAACATTCAAAATACAGCAAACAGATAATCCATCACAAGCAAATCTTCCTACCCCTTCTCATCCCCACACACAGCGCTTTGCCAGAAGCACAAGACCAAGTAAAATAACCCATGCAATTTCCTTGTTTACTTAAAGAATTGCAGAAAACATGTTGACGGCTTCTGAAACAAATGCAGTTTCAATATTTAAAAGACTTTTCATGATCATGTTTGAACTATGGGAGTAGTAATGATTCCTTCAGTTAGTAAAAATCTAGTTTTAACTTTATAAAAAGGGTTAAATTTTACACTGCAGTTTATTAGCATGCCTTGTTTGCAACCAGAAGGAAGAGGGAAAAGAGGGGAGGGGGGAAGCAGCAAAACATACAAGATGGAAAACATCACTACCTCCTTTGGTGGTTAGCAGCAATTTCAAATGACCCCAAGATGTAAGGGAAGAGTTCATGAATAGAAAGAAAGGGAGTTAGCAATCCGAACTGGCCCCTTCCAGATTCATACTGATGTCGGAGAGAAAGAATTTATTTACACTGCAGTGCCTGGCAGCAAACATGGCTGCCCCTGCCCCCTTTAAATGTGAATAGTCTTCACTCCCTCACCAAAACCATCAAATTATGGCCATGTCTCTCCCTGTCTTGCTACCATAACACTAACACATCTCCTCCTCTCTCAAAACAGTACAACCCACACCTCCCCATTTCACAACAATCACGACACCATTAGCTTCTCTATTCTCTAGCCTTGAAAGAAAAGGCACAGAATACACATAAATATAGGAACAAAAGGCTTTCCCTTCCTGACACTTGAACAACCGCCTTCCCCTTCTTTTCCTCCCATTCTGTGATGCTTGGTCGACAGTTCTCACCCTTCCCAACCCTCAGTTAATTTCGTTCCCTGTCCCAACCCTAGGTCTTCCAGGTTCCCATTTCCTATCTTCCTATTGCATCCTCTCTCAATCATTTCTCATCCCTTTTCCTAATCCACCTTGTCTTCCACTTCCATTCCCTCGTCTCTCCCTTGATGCCCCATTTTTCCATCAAATTCTATCCCCTTCCCCCAGACTCTTCTGGTTCCCACACTCCACCCCCAAACCTCCCTATTTCTCAGTCCACCCAGGTCTCTAATCTTCTGCAAACCTAACTCTTCTCCTCTTCCCCTGCCCCTCCCCCGTTCCATCTTTATCCCCGCCCCCATCCCACCTCTACTCCCAATTCCCAGCTCAGCACCACTCCATCTCTTATCCCAATCCTACCTCCCCGGCCCCACCTCCCAATCCCCTCCACACCCCCAACCTTGCCATCTGCTTCTCCTTCTCGCCTCCCTTTGAGGCCATTTGTCCTCCCATCCTTGCTAGGGTCTCTCTCCCTACCCGGGTCCCATCCCTAGGTCGCCCCCTCCTCGTCGTTCCCTCCTTAGCCCTTCCTTCCAGGACACACACACGCACACGCACACACACATTCACTTTACCTTCAGTTTGTTCCATTCTAACCCCCCGGCCGTGTCAGTACGATCACAGGAGAGACACGGAGGCCCGGAGTGGGGCTGGTGTGCGGGCAGCCGCCGGGGCCGCGGGGGGAGGAGACGGAACCAAGCTAGGCCGCATGAAATCCCCGGGCTAGATTTCCCCCGCGCAGGACGCCTCTGCCATGGCGGTCAGCACCGAGGAGGGCCACGGCCGGGCCGGGCCGGGCGTGGAGCGGAGAGGAGGAAGGCTGCGGGAGATGGGGTGGGCAGGGGAGGTGGAGGGATGGGGGGGTCGCCGCGCAGCCGCTGCTGCCAGAGAGGAGCCTGTGGCTGTCGGCCGGGCCGGGACAGCAGGGTCCTCGAGGCTCGACTCGGCCTTCGCACGCCTCTCCGCGGCGACCGTGAACAGTCCCTCCCGGCCTCCGCCTCCGTCCTGGCCGCCGCTCCCGCCGCCGCCGCCGCCGTCGCCGCGCACAAAGCCCCCCCACCCCGACTCTCGGAGCGCCGCCGCCGCCGCCGCCAAATCCTCGGCCCCTCATTGGCCGCCTGCCGCGGTGCCTGCCGGGAAATGCAGTCCCGGGTTTGGGGCGCAGGGGGCGAAAGGAGGAAGAGGCTAGTCAGCCGCGCAGAGAGAGGGGCAGGAGCGAGAAGCAGAAATGTGAGCGGCCCGGGAGAGTCTAGACGAGAAGTGAGACCTCAGGCGATAAAGGCAGAGAGACAGGAAGGAATGATGCAAAGGCGAGTAAAAAACAAAACAAAACCAGAAGATAGGTTAAAGGTTGGGCCTGTGAGGGTAAAATTGTGCTCGTGCGTGTTCTTTGATACTTATTAAATAACACCACATATTAAACACCATATGGTACTTCTTAGAAGGACACTGCTATACAATCCCTGGATGTTAGACATAACCTACAAACGAGTGTCGGGTTAAGATGACCGGGAAAGAGCACAATCGATGTGACTGCTTGGCCGTCTTCTGTCCGACAGCTGTCACAGCACAGCTCCGTATTCCGCATGGGTTTGCATCTGGAAACCGTGGCAGCAATTCCAGACTTGAGCCTTGGGGGGCAGTCTCCCTTTCAGCCCTGGATGTGAGTGCCAGATGGCCCCCCGCCGGCACCCCCCACCCTCCACCTGCCCCCCCCACTCCCAGATCGCAAGCAGTAGAAGGCGGTGGCGGCATCTCAGTCTCTGAGGAAGCGCCGACCTCCTTGGCAGGCGCCGGGCCCCGCACGCCTTCTTCCTGCTCGCACTGCGGGCCCGGAGGCTTGTGGGTAACAAGGACGACGTCAGCGCCGACTGCAACCCGGACCCGAGGGACCGAGAGGGCTCGGTGCCCGTCACGTGCCGGGGCCCTCTGCTGCCCGCCGCCAGACCCTCACTTCGAGGAATGGGAGGGCATTGGTCCCAGACCAGAGCTCACGCAAGAAAGAGAGGAGGAAGAGGGAGTCAAAATTCTCAGCAACCCTCCGGTCCTGCCCATCCTAGGAAATTTGTTAAACAATAGAAGGTTCTGGGTGTATGACAGTAATCTTGCAGGAGTGTGCAGATCTGGTTATTTCCAGGGGCCTGGTGATAATGACTTAGAACGTTGCAGCACAGAGACGTGAACGTGCAAAGGAAATACAGGCAGCAATCAGATGAGGAAACCAATACTCTGTTCTCTCTTCTGAGAATGGTAAAGCCATGTCTCTACTAGACGTTATACTCTCAATTGACATTCGAGTGCTGGATCTATTTGGTACCGATACAAGAAATTCCTGACATCTTTGTCTTTAAATAGCCCTTAAACAAGAAATTAAAAGATTCCTACAGATCAATTATTTTAATGATTACTAATTGTGTATTAGTTTTTAAAAACATAACTGTTAATAATAGGATGATATTCAGAATTTTAGCATTCCCATTATTACTAATCATTAACTGTTTCTAAACCTATGCTTTGTATAGTACCAAAAGTTAAAGGAATAAAAGCACATTTTTGTTGGTTTTAAATGTCTTTTTAGATCACAGACCTCCAACCCCACTTGAACTTATTTCACTTTGATTCTATCTCCTGGAAAGAGAGGTTAAATTGGTCTTTTTTTTTCCCCACATGATCCTTTCTACCTCCATCCTTCTTTTCCACCTTCCTGTATCCTCCTTGCTTTGTTGATAAACTGTTGCCTTCACCTGACACCTGGATTTTCCCCTTAAGGAGAATCTGGTAAATTGTCCCCCAGGGATTTTATTTTAATCTGCTTCTAAAGCTATGCTGACGAGAATTTAAAATTAAAATTATGTGAAGTAGATGTATAGTCTCTTCCTGCAAAACATTAGAAAATACATCTTTAATAATATTTGATATTGAGCATATTTAGGGAAATGGCCATTAAAAATAATAATTTACATTTTTACCATCAAACATCTTCTGAGGTTCAGAACATGCTTTCTCTTCTCCATAGAAAATGAGCAAACAGTTCATTAAGACAGCAATCTAACACAATTCTCAGGGCCAGAGTTACAGAGAAAAAGTTTTTTTTTTTCTCTTCTGAAGATTATATCCAAAAACTCATTATATGATAAATCGTTTATCTCCTGAAAGTCAAAAATTTGCCAGGCCTGATAATAGGGGAAGGCAGACATTGCTTTGAACAAATAGATTGCAGTAAGAAAGATTTTTAACTCTTCCCTTTTCAGAACAGGATTGCTGACATATGGCTGTGGTAGAAAATCTAGCTCATCTTTCAAATACTGAGCTTGGAATTGTTCATCTGGTTTATGAATACTTAATGATTTAAACTGTGCCTGGTTGTAAGTGAATACAATGCCTGAATAAGAATATTTCCTGGTATAAAATGTCTTCCAGGGAGCTGAGAGGAATATTTTTGCATCCTTTATGATCTTTTCCAGAAAAGTACACGTACTTGCTAGTGCAGTGATTAATTTATAAAATTAATATGGAAATTATACCTACCTAGACTTTTAGAGCTCAAAATTTACCATTTTACCATCAGGAATTTTCAGAGAAGGAAAGGCAAAGAGACCAACCTTTGTAGATTTTGTTAATTCTAGTAAACAGAGACTGTGAAGTGAAATCTTTATGTGGAAAGTTGGGCATCAGACATGCACAAAGGGCCCTCTAGTGACCAAACTGAAAAGTTTTGCCTATTTAACATAGTTGATTCATTTGGTTATTAGCTGAAAAATGCTTTGAGGATTAAAAGCAGTCTGCATTTTTTTTAAAAACTGAAATTTAATGCCGCCATCTTTCATTCTTACAAATGTGCAGTCCAAATGAGTAACGTCTGTGGTCAGCTCACGTGTTAAGAGAAGTATTCTCCGTGTGAAAGCCATTCCTTGCGGTCTAGTGTTAGTCAAATTAGAGCCACTAAAAATTTTGTCTTCCTTCCAGAGCCAGATAAAATGGGTGGATAGAGATAAGTAGGGAGCGAGAACATTTCAAGATCTTGCACTTTCCCAAGATGGCTCAGGTGCCCATTCTAGGAACTGAAGTGCCCCCAAACCTCCAGTTCCCGTCACTGCACAGATACTGTAATATACATTTTAAATGTTATTTGAGATTTCTACACAAAATAACTACTGATCATAAACAATACCTGTTAAGAAAACATTTCTAAAGGGAATTTGTTTAGTGGAATTCAGATTTCCATGTGAAGATTTCACAGATTCCAGTCTTGGGCCCAGGAGAAGGGAGAGGGATGTTTTCCTTATCATTCCCACAGTTTCTGCCACTCCCTCTCCCCACCACTCCCTCTCCCCGCCAACCCCCACCCGGCAGTTGCGGAGTTGGAGGGGGTGCGGCAATACATCAAAATGATGTAATTCCTGACTCCAAGATGGTTACCATGGCGACTATCAGGCTTATTACGCTATCGGTAGGGTAAGAGCTTCTTTAATCCAGCCTTCAGTGAAGGGTTTTCGGTGCGAGGGTGTGTGTGTGGGTGGTGTTAGTCCACAGCCTACAGAGTGTGGACAGGCAGAAAAGCGTCAGTCTTGGGCCCCCCAACACAGACTCTCCTTAAACTTAACCCGATAGAGAATTCATTTCACCGGTGGGAACCAGACCTTGGTGCCTCCCCGGCTGCACCGCGAAGGACGCCCTCCCTCCCCAGAATCTGAGCGCTCATTGGTGCGTGGTGTCGTCACTCAGTGACGTTACCGGGCGAGGAAGGAGGTGGAGCCATAGAGACTTGGCCTCAGGCCCTTCTAGCTTGGGGAACTGGGGGAGGGGGAAATCCAGAAAGGACCAGAGGACCGAGGCAGCCGTTCCGGGGAGCCGGCCCGAGGAGGAACAGGTGGGGGGGCCAAGTCCTCCGGCTGTTACGTGGTGGACCGAGCTGTCTGTTTTCCTCCGGAGCCCGCTCCCTCCGCATCCTGCTCCTCCCATCAGCGCCCAGTTTTCCCGACAGGTTCCAGTTCCCCACCGCGCTCTCCTCAGCCCTTGACCTCGCCCCCTGCCTGCCCCCCAACTTTGGAGCTCAGCCTCCTTGCCCCCTCGTTCCGTGCTTCGCTTCTTTTCTCTTCCGTGCCCCGCGCCCTGCTTCTCCTCGTCTACCTTCCGTAATCCCGGATCCCCTACGAGGTTCGGTGTTCCGGTGCCTGCACCACCCCCCACCCAAAAACAAGGAACCCGACCTCAGCACAACCAACACAGTCCACCAACACACAACGCGCACAAAAGCAACCGGCTGAGGCAGCCAGCCGAGGGAGCGCTTTGCCCCCGAGTCGTCCAGTGACAGATGCACAGGTAACCCGGGGAGGCTGAGGCCCAGGCATCGGGCGGGGCGGGGCGAAGACGCAGGCGGGGATCGCCGCCCGGCCCCGCCCCGGCCCGGCCCCGCCCGCCTGGGAGGGGGTCGCCCACAGCCCTGGGCGGAGTGCCCGGGCCAGAGGGCAGATGAACCGCAGGATCGGGTGTGGCCTCCGTCCCGCATGAGATCGCCCGCCCTTAGTCTGGGTTCAGATGTTCCGAAGTATTATTTGAACCCTTGTTCAGAATGTCAGCTGTGTGGTTGAGGTTTCTGTCCAGGAGAGACCCTGCTAGTGCTTTCCCAGCTGCAGGAAAGCGAAGTTGAGGCTCTGAGCTACTAAGGCTCCTTGCTGCCCTTGGCTGAAAAGCGCCACAGGTTGGAAAAGGGTTTTGGTAAAGTTTATTTAAAGGTATAAAGCTCAGTTTGGACTTTTTGGAGAATCAATAGCAGAGGAAACCGGTTTACCTCCACTTGAACTATTGGTAGGTACGATGTACATCTTCATTGCTACATTCACGAGATTAGTGAGTACTTTCAATCTTTAAAATTTGGGGCAGCCTGGACAACTATGGTAAAAAGCTAGTTGAAAACAAATCCAGGATATTTACTTTCTACCTGTATTTTTAAGCAACAAATAAGTATATGTTGCTCAGCTTCTTAAATATTTGGCAACCCTTCAAGTAGATTAGTAGGTACTATTGACCAGAAATCAAAATGTCTGTGAAGACCATGTTACCATTATGAGCATCATCATATTAGAGATCATTATTTGTTGGGATCTCAAAGTACCATTCTCAAATCCAGGGCTAAAAAAATATTATTCATGACTGTTGGAAATGAACTTGAGAGAGATTTTACACCTTGAATAGCATATGCAAATTTTCTACCCTTGCAATAGTTAAAAACATTTAAATCCTGATATCTTTATAATTGATGTGTTCTTAAAATACTAAATTGTTTACTTACTCCTTCTGCCTAGGTGCCTATGTTGAGACAAATGACTAGTTGAGTCAAATATAAATATGGCCTTCTACAGTTATAATACGGTCTTAGCTATTGCCCGAACAAGGTAAGCCTTGAAATTCACTCCTCACCAATATTTATATGCACTTTATTCTTCTAGATGAAAAAGAGATATGTAAAAGGGTAGGCTTAGTACACCATTAAAGCTTTGTTGGTTCTAACTATGTTGGTTTTTAGGAAGCTGACATTTTAATGTATTTAAACACCCAAAAGTTTTATATGCTTTGGAACTCAGATTGATCTAATTTTGTAGACGAGTGGTGCAGGTAAGGTGGAAGATGTAATGGTTTTAGAGTGACACCTCTGTAATTGATAAATGCTATGTGAGGCCCTTAGATGTAGAAAGGAGTAAAATGGCTGGCAAACAAACCAGTCCTAGGGCATACACCTGCCCCAGTAAGGTCTGTTATCACTTATTTATTCCAAAGAATATTCACTGAGAATTTACTCTGTGCTAGATACATTGCACATTTTACTTTTTGGCCATTCAGAAAGTGTTTTATCCTGGCATGCTTCAAAAACAGTCTGAAAGAATGGGAAAAGCCATCTCTTTGCCAAAAGAAGTCTCTTTGCCAGGAAATTTTTTTGTCTAGATGGGGTCTTATTTTTGTCTTCAAACAATCTGATGGGCTAGTTTAACTGAGGATTGTGAGCTGTTGCAAAACCAGAATGTAGAGATCCTGGCTGGGGTGCCCTATGCTAATTCTTATTCCGAAGGTTCTTGAGGAATCCTAGGGGAAGGGCATTTCAGCTGTAAGTGCCTCGCATTTGAAGGAGTCCATGGGCACTCACAGACAAAGCAGTGTTATGTGATTGGTTAATCCCCACAGGGATCATGAAGTGTGTCGTTCAAACGATATTCCTATTGTCAGTAGAGTGGCTGAAGACACGTGTTCCACCTGTTCTATAATAGGAGATAGAGACAAACTTTCAAACATAACCCCTAGTGGGAAAATGTTTTCTATTAGATTTTTGAATTACTAGTCACAGAGTTTCTAACTTCTAGTATAGCAATTATTCTTAGGAATTAACTTATTAATATTTCTCGTAGAGTATATCATTCAACCATAAAGCATACTGTTCTTCAACTGGGGTAAAAAGTTGTATTTCATTCATTAATGAACATCATCTGCTTTTAAAATACTGGCTTAAAAACTATTGTTTTATTTTAACTAGATAGACTATCTATTTCTTTAACTTTTGAGTTTGTAATAGTATGTGCTCAACTCAGAAGATGTTGCTCTTTATTCCAGATTCCCTGGCCATTTCGTCCATCCTACTAGCTCTTCTTATTCCCCGTTATTTGCATTTCTTCACTTGCCAGATCCCCATTTAAATAAAATATATATGAAGAACTATGGAAGCAAGAAGTACTCCTATCCTAATCAGTCAGGCAATAAAGTACTTCACTTACGAACTAGAATAATACAAAAGCTACACACATCGACTTGCTGGCTACAAGAGTTCCCTGGTAAACCTCAGCTAGAGCAAACCACAAAAAAAACGCAGGGGACAAGCCCTCAGACCACCAAAGAAACTGGCATGAAGATTAAGGAAGAAAAGCAATCTTATAGACAAAAAATTGTGGATGAACTTAAATATTATTACAATGGATTCTATTTGCTTTGGATTGACACCAAAGTTGCTGCCAGAATGGTTTGGAGGCTGTTGCATGGACAGGTGCTGACCAGACGAGAGAGGCGAAGGGTAGGCAAGAATCATATTCGAGAAAGAAAATGTAAAGTTACAGTGAACTGTTTGGGAACCAAGTTTTAAACTCAACTTAAAATTCATCTTAAAAATCCCAAAGTAGGAATAGTAACTGATGGTGAGAACCAGAGTTTCTTGCTTGTCTGCAACTGACTTGCTGTACAAGTTTAGGCAAGATTCTTAAAATTTGTGTATATTTGCCTATAGAAAGGTTACAATGGTGTTTTCTAATCTCTCCAAGGAGTTGAAAAGCTTCAGGTTTGATCTGTGCATCTGAAGTAAAAACCATTGTTAATATATTAATTATATGCATCAAAAAACCCAATTTTAATAGCTACTATGTTATTAAATTATGGACCCCTAAGTTAGATGAAAGCTAAGAGATACCAATAACATGTTTTGATTGTCATAGATTTCCTTGAGGATATCCCATAAATATTACTTCAGAGCTTGGTAAAGAGGAAAACCCTGCCTTGCCATTTTATAAATAGCTGCAGAAAATCTGTCTTGTGTTTTTAACACTTTAAGAACCAAGGCAGGCTTTTTTAGTTTTTGTTTTTGGTATGTCCTAAAATAATGAATATTGCATATGCATTTAATTCTTTAGCTATTGAGAACTTGTGTTGATTTCTTCCGCCTGGTTCCATTTATGGTGTTCATAATTGTGCCCTTCATGGAATTCTTATTACCAGTGTTTCTGAAACTCTTCCCAGAGATGTTGCCATCAACTTTTGAAAGTGAATCCAAAAAGGTATGTACGATTTTTTTAACTTTTAAAAAAAATTAATAGACTTTATTTTTTTAGAGCAGTTTTTAGGTTTACAGAAAAGTTGAGCAGAAAGTACAGAGAGTTCCCCAGATACCCGCTCCCCACCATTTCCCCTATTGTTAACATCTTGCATTAGTGTGGTATGTTTGTGACAATTGAAGAACCAATGTCAATACATTATTATTAATTAAAGCTCATACTTTACATTAGGGTTCACTCTTTGTGTTTTGCAGTTTTATGGTTTTGACAAATGCATAATGTCATGTATCCACCATCACAGAGTCATACAGAGTAGTTTCACTGCCCTAAAAATCCCCTGTGCTCCACCTGTGTGTTCCTCCCCCCTCTTCCCCCAACTCGTGGCAACAACTGATCTTTTTACTGTCTCTGTAGTTTTGCCTTTTCCTGAATGTCATATAGTTGGAATCATACAGTGCGTAGCCTTTTCACACTGGCTTCTTTCACTTAGCGTTATGCATTTAAGGTTCCTCCATGTCTTTTCATGGCTCACTTCTTTCTGTCACTGCATAATATTCCATTGTATGGATGTATCACAGTTTGTTTTTCCATTCACCTATTGAAGGACATCTTGGTTGCTTCCAATTTTTGGCAATTATGAATAAAGCTGCTATAAATATTCATGTGCAAGTTTTTGTGTGGACATAAGCTTTCAGCTCATTTGGGTAAATACCTAAGAGAGCAATTGCTGGATCGTATGGTAAGCCTATGTTTAGTTTTGTAAGAAATCGATGAACTGTCTTCCAAAGCAGCTGTACCATTTTGCATTCCTGTCAGCAATGAATAGGAGTTCCTGTTGCTCCACTTCTTCATCAGCGTTTAGTGTTGTCAGTGCTTTGAATATTAGCCATTCTAATAGACATGTAGTGGTATCTCATTGGTTATTTTAATTTGCAGTTCTCTAATGATGTATGATGTTGTGCATCTTTTCATATGCTTATTTGCCATCTGTATATCTTCTTTGGGGAGGTGTTTGTTCAAATCCTTGGCCCTCTTTCTAATGGGATTGTTTGTTTTCTTATTGTTGAGATTTAAGAGTTCTTTGTGTATTTTGGATATAAGTCCTTTAACAGATATGTGTTGTGCAAATATTTTCTCCCAGACTGTGGCTTGTCTTTTCATTTCTTAACCGTGTCTTTTGAAGAGCAAATGTTTTTAATTTTAATGAAGTGCAACTTATTGATTTTTTCTTTCTTGGATTGTGCTTTTGGTGTTGTATCTAAAAATTCATTGCCAAACCCAAGGTCACCCAGGTTTTCTCCTATGTTTTCTTCTAGGTGTTTTATAGTTTTGAGTTTTACATTTAAGTCTATGATCCATTTTGTGTTAATTTTTATGAAAAGTGTAACATCAGTGTCAAGTCATTTTTTTGCACGGGGATATCCAGTTTTTCCAGCACCATTTGTTGAAAAAACTATTTCTTCTCCATTGAAATTTAACTTGTTTTTAACTATTAAAAAATAAAGAAAACTGTTCCTGCAGTGACTAGTTGAACAGTACACATGGTTTATTCAGCCACACAGACCCGTTAGTGTGTGTGAGTAGTCCCTGGGAAGAGGGTGTCCTCATTTCACGGTCACTGTGACGGTGACAGGCTGGGAAACCCAGGCAGCTGTTTCATTCTCTCCATTCTATGCTACTCTACTAGACAGTGGTATGACAGCATGAACACACCATTATGAGAGGGCAAGTTTTAAATCAGATTGGGAAATGTTTCACAGAAGAGGTATCTGTGAAACTGAGACTTAAAAGAGTGGTAGAATTTTACCACAGTGTTTGAAAGGCATTCTGGATAGAAAGAATGTCGCTTAAAATGGCTTAACAGTGTAAAGGAGTATGACATAATCAGAGACCACTGATTGGTTCTTTGTGGTTGGAATATAAGGAGATCAATGGTAGAAGATGAGACAAAAGTGATGTGTTGGGGTCAGGTTGGAAAACATCCACCACCCTAAGGAATTTAGGCTTTACCTTGGACAGTGGTAAATAATGGAAGGTAAATCTAAGCAGGGGGTGGGTAACACAATTAGATCTGTGTTTTAGAAAAATAATTTTACTGGCAGGAAGGATCGAAGAGGGCAAAGCCAAGGGAGGGAAATCAGCTGGAATGCTATTGTAGTAGCACACGAGAGAGATGCTGAAGCCTAAATTATGAAAGTGGCATTAGGAATAAAAACTTGAAAATAGATTTGAGATATATTTAAGGGGTAGAATCAAATTGCAGTATTTAACTGCCTGGCAGTGGTTTAATTTACTTAACATTTAAAGTAATCAAGATCTAGAATAAATACCATGGGATTCAAAGGAAACTGTTAGTGAATACAGGAAGATGGGGGAATAGAGGAAGCGATTTATCTAAATATTCCTCTTTCCTCAACACTACTCATTCCCTGAACATACGTATGTATGCATTATGGCCACAGTCTTAGAAAATACTTTCTTGTTTGCTTTGTTCCATGAAAAGAGAGAGAGCAAGCGAGCAAGAGTGCTAGCTTTCTATTTACATCAGATCACAGTGCCATGCATTTCTCATTTCTCTTTCCATTATACTTTTACACTCGTGGAATTAGTGGATTATCACTAGTTGCTAATGTTTGTCTCTCCCATTAGACTAGAAGTTCCATGAGGGCAGGAATTCATATCTGTTTTTGCTCATTTTATCCCTGTCACATGGTAGATGTTCAATAAATGGATGGATGGATGGGTACGGATGAAGGAAATGGATGACTAAATGGGTTCTAATGATAGTATTGCTGTTGTATGATTTTTTTGGCTGAGTCTTTTAAGCTCTTTCTAAAAATCAATGATTGCTATGATTGGCTGATCATTAGAACCTCTTGGGCAACTTAAAAAAAAAAAAAAAAGTATATATATATGTGTTCTTTTTTCTCTCCACATCCCTGAGTCCTGACCATAGTTATTTTGAAAATGCTACCACATTGCATTTCTAATGACGAACAGGATTTAGAAATAGTGGTCCACATAGTGTCTTAACAGTGTACATTTAATTCTCTTTTGTGTATTGCTTTGTTCATATCTGTTATAGCAGTTAACTCATTGTATTGTAATAAATTGTGTCTGTTTTGCATTACTTAAACTGCAAGCTGCTTTAACATAGAATTAATTTCCTAATTTTCTTTGTTTGTGACCCAAGCAAAATCTGGGGCCTCTCAGACCAAAGGTTGGCTCAACTAGCAGCCTAGCTGGTTTGTAGCAGGTTAAGAGACAGTATATCATTCTAAATAATGACAAAGCCTCCTATTGAGGGGACATTTTGGATCTATCAAATATTTATGATCATTGTATTAGTGAGAAATAACAGGTGAGATTAAAGAGACAAGTTGCAAATAGAGGCTACTTTTTATTTGCTCTGGTGCTCATAAAACCCATTCAGTTTGGTCTGAAAATAATATAAAATATTATGAATATGAATATAAAATGATGAACATGAAAAATAACATGAAATAGGGATGAGCAATAACAAGCTGACAGTTATTTTTAACTGTCTTATCTTTATCTGCCAAGTTGTAATCATGAATGATTGATTAACTTTTTCCTCTTCTATTATTAAGGAAGAAAAACAGAAAAAGAAAATGGCTGCAAAGTTGGAACTAGCAAAATTTCTTCAAGAAACGATTACAGAAATGGCAAGGAGGAACAGGGCCAAGTTAGGAGATGCCTCTACGCAGTTCGCGTCCTACGTCAAACAGGTGTCAGTCTTTTATATAATACCAGACAACTGCTGGGCTGGCAATTATATGAAAAATGTGTGTCATCATGGATCTTCTAAATTGTTCACAATCTCTGAATTTGGAAATATCTAAGTTATGTACATACGATTATAGTAGTTTGCAGAAAAACCTACCTTAATGCAATCAATGTGTTGTAGACGTTGATAACTTCTTGGAAAGAACAGTAGAGTTAGAGTCAAACTTTTGAACTACTCCTGATTTTTCAGTTGATTTAGGCTGACTTCAGACATTTCTTTACTCCTCTTTGTACTTCAGGGCCCATTTCCAGACATAAGATAGAATCCATAACGGCATTGACGTGTCTTTCGAATAGTCTCCTGGGAAGGTTAAATTAGGAAACACATTTTAATGCCTCTTTGTCCCACTGTTTAGGTCCAGACAGGACACAAGCCCAGCACAAAGGAGATAGCTCGCTTTTCCAGACTATTTGAGGATCAGCTAACCCTGGAGCGCCTAGATCGACCTCAGCTGATTGCCCTTTGCAAACTGCTAGAATTGCAGTCCTTTGGAACCAACAATTTGCTCCGCTTTCAGCTCCTGATGAAACTGAAGTCTATAAAAGCAGATGATGAAGTAAGAGTGCAACTCTAGCTGTAGGGAATTAGCAAGCATTGGGAGATATCTTAGGGTGGCGTTGTGATGAAATGCAGTATCTTCTGGTAGGTCTGCTCATGGACCGGTTCTGGCAAAATGAGTAGTTTAAACAACCATTACCATGACAACCTGAACCTTGATTACTCATTTTAGGAGCCGTTTGTCATACTCTGACCCATTTTCTTGAGAACCATCATAAGCAGTTAGTAATTTGGATGTTTTAGTGGGAACTAATCTAAAGCAGTTAGGACCCGCTGGGAAGGAACAGCAGCCCAGTAGATTCCTGAGTCTTCCACTGCCAAGGACAGTGCTTTACCCCCACACCTCTGCTCATCCCCCGCGGAGCTGGTGCCAAAGTGAATATTCTGCTGGGTGAGTTGGCCTAGTAAGAAGGGGTGGCAAAGCATAATGCAGGGAAGGAGAGCAAAGCCTAGACATCTTATGGAAGAAAGGCACTGTTTGGACTATAACTACTAATTAGACTCCTTGAAAAATGGAATGTTTCTTGAATCTGAATCAGCTGCTTTAAAGCATTCTGCCTGAGGGAGCAGGATTCCCAGAACTGAGAAAGCATGATCCCATCGGCCCCCTTAAGATTTCAGTTGTTGCTTTCAGAACTTTGGAATAAACAATACTGGTCCCAGAAGTATAGTATTGGGTCACACCAAGCAAAACTGTGTTATTTATTGAGGGAATTTTGTGGACCAGAGGGTTAGGGCCATTCCTGGGGTGGTGGTAGGGGGAGAGTGGGGGAAGAACACTACTGGGACATGCAACAAATGGTACATTGAAAGCTTTTCAAGTGAAATATTTTTCAAAGGACTCCTAAAGCTGCCATGAAAGGGCAGAGATGTCACAAACAGCAGAAATGCAAATCAAGAGGGGAAATACTTGGGTGACAGAATGTCAGGGAGGAGTTATATAAATCACTGATATTATTAATACCTGTTGGCGGGATCCCCTTCATCTCAACCGCTACATCTTCCCAAGTCACTTTGTTTTTTAGGCTCCTGACCTTTGCAGCAGCCAGTGCAGGGGACAAAGTATAAAGGCATCAGATTCTGTGTTTCCCCTGATTTGTTAGAATGTAGAGATTAGGTAAAATTGGAACCCAAAGATCCAATACCATTCCTTACGTTTCTTTCAGATAATCGCCGAAGAAGGGGTGAGTGCTTTGAGTGTGTCAGAACTACAAGCTGCCTGTAGGGCCCGAGGGATGAGATCACTGGGGCTCACTGAGGAACAGCTGAGACAACAGCTCACAGAGGCAAGTAGCAGTTTTCCTGGGTCCTTTTCACTAGAACTCTCTCCCCTCCAATTTGCAGTCCGTATTTTCTGATTTCTACTTTACAACTGAACCATCTTACTGAAGTTGCCTTATTTAATTGAGCAATGGACGCTGAAGAAGCTAGATTTATTTTTGACTGAGACAGGGTGCTGTATTAGTTTTCTATTGCTGCTTAACAAACTACCACAAACTTAGTGGCTTAAAACAACCCCCATTTATTAGCTCATGGTTCTATAGGTCAGAAGTGCAGGCTATGTTCCTTTCTGGAGGCTGTGGGGAAGACTCTACTTCTAACCTCATTCAGTTGGTTGGCTGAATTTAGTTCCTTGCAGCTGTAGGACTAAGGTCCTTGTTTCCTCACTGGCTGTCAGCCCTGGGCTACTCTCAGCCCTAGAGGCCAACTGCATCCTTTTTTTTTTATTTTTTATAATTTTATTTATTTATTTTTTCCCCCAAAGCCCCAGTAGATAGTTGTATGTCATAGCTGCACATCCTTCTAGTTGCTGTATGTGGGAGGTGGCCTCAGCATGGCCGCAGAAGCAGTGTGTCGGTGTGCGCTGGGGATCCGAACCCGGGCGCCAGCAGCGGAGCACGTTGAACTTAACCGCTAAGCCATGGGGCCGGCCCCCCAACTGCATTCTTTACCTCTAGGCCCTCTCCATCTGCAAAGCCAGCAACGGAGACTTCTCACATGCCACCCTCCCTGCCCCCCACATGCTTCAAATATCTCAGACTTCCCCTGTTTTTGACCTCTGGCTCCAGATTTAAAGGTCTTACATGGTTAGGTGAGACCCACCGGGATAATCTTCTTATCTTAAGGTCAAGTGGCTTGGAATCTTTTTTTTTTTAAATGTTTACCTCTTTTATTTATTTTTATTTTTATTTATTTTTATTTTTTTTCCCCCAAAGCCCCAGTAGATAGTTGTATGTCATAGCTGCACATCCTTCTAGTTGCTGTATGTGGGATGCGGCCTCAGCATGGCCGGAGAAGCGGTGCGTCGGTGCGCGCCCAGGATCTAACTGCGGCCGCCAGCAGCAGAGCGCGCGCACTTAACCGCTAAGCCACGGGGCCGGCCCATGGAATCTTAATTATATCTGCAGAATCCCTCCATAGCAGCACCTAGATTAGTGTTTGAATAACTGGGAGAAGATGTGGGTACACAAGGGACCAGGAATCTTGGGGCCACCTTAGAATTTTGCCTCCTCCAGGGCACGGGCAAAATCTCTAACACAGGGCCTACATCTGTGTGAATCCATCGGGAAGTCGAAAGCTTGCATGGTGGCTCACCTGGGACTGCTTTCCCAATTAGTGCTCCAAACCAATGTCCAGTGTTAGCTTTGGTAATAGATGTTTGATATTTTCCCACAGATAACATAACTACGAGTATCAATGCTTTAAAACAGAGGAGTAACTCCTATTAAAATTCTCATTCCAATAACTGTAAAACGTGCCATAAAGTGTACACAGATTACTTGGGGATAGGAGCCATTGTTGTGACTTTGCAGCCATGTCACGTAGCTATTTCCTCTTACATGTTGGACCTGCTCTGGTTGGAAGATGAACATATTGTAGAGAGACGTACTTAAAATCATTTATTTCTTGAACATAGAATATTAAGTGGGTTCATACTGTCAAATTGCTTTCTTGAAAGGGTGTATCATTTTACAATCCCACTACAAGGGAGTGAGGATAATAATCCAACCATATTATATTCAGCACTATATATTATTATTCAAAAAATCCTGTGTTTGGATACAGGCAGGTATTTCATAGAAAGGAAAATCTAAAAATGGTAAACACATGAAACAACTTCATAATAAGATAAATTAAAACTGTGAGATACCACCTTCACCTATGATGTTGGCAAAGATCAGAGTTTGATAACACACCTTGTCAGTGAGGGTGTGGGGAGAGGGGCATTCATGTATTGCTGGTAAAAACCTCCATGGAGAGTAATTTGGCAATATCTTTCAAAATTTAAAAATGCATTTACTCTTTGACTTAGCTATTTCACTTCTAGGAATTTATCCTAGAACAATTTATGTTCTTGCACTTGCAATGATATAGATTATCTTTTGCAGCACCATTTATAATTGCAAAAGATTGGAAACAGTCTAATGTTCATTAATAGGAGAATAATCAAATAAATTATGGTATTTCCATACAATGGAATCCTTTATAGATGTTTAAAAAGGAGGCACGTCTACATCGACTGATATGAATCAATCTCAAGATATTTCAGTGAAAGAATTCAAAGGACAACTGTGTATATGTCACCCTTTGTGTAAAGATTAAAAAAATATATATATATTTGTACATGCATAGATATCTCTGGAAGATTATATAAGGAACTAGTACCAGTGGTTGCTTTTAGGGAGGGAAACAAGGTAGCTAGAGCATACGGATAGAAGGCAGACTTATTTTTATTGATTACATTTTACCTTTTGAATTTTGTCTCTTGTGCATGTGTTATTGATCTAAAAAATTTTTTTTAAAAAGCCTGGCCAATTTGGTACTTGAAAACTTACATCTCAATCTCATTTTCGTGTTTATTTCTTTGGCTATGAATTGAGGCTGATTTATTCTTTCACATTCTCTACTTTTTGCCTAAGACACTTAGCTACTTTGATCCACAATTGGTTTGCGAGTTTAGCTGAACTCTCCCTCTCTGACTGAGAGTGATCCCCCTGGAGTGAGGGAGGTTGCAAGGTTCACCCTCTGGTGCAGAAGCCAGGTGGCTGGTGTTCTTCTCTTTGTTCTGCCATTAGTTATCTGCATGCGCCTGGGGAAGCAGTAAATGATCATGGGTTACTTCCAGTTCTAACATTCTGTGATTCAATCATGTTTTATTCTCCTCCCATTTTTCAGTGGCAGGACCTCCACCTGAAGGAGAATGTCCCTCCTTCTCTTTTGCTCCTGTCACGAACCTTCTACCTGATAGATGTGAAGCCAAAGCCAATTGAGATACCACTAAGTGGGGAGGTGAGTAACTGGGTTCATGGAGAATCTGGATTTCCATCAAAACTGGGTCCTCCCCAGAAGTGTCTTATTTTCTCTTATAGTCAGAGTAGGCATTTCTTTTGGACTTTGGCCCAACTGGCTTTAAAATCTTTTTAAAATTCCTAAAAAGAATCAGTCACTTAACTACCTCTACTTCTAGCTATAGGGTTATTAATGCCTTTAATCCTAGCTCGATTTAGTTTTACTAATAGTCCAGTTTATTCTTTCTTCTTATTTAGTCCCATTAGCAGACTTTTTTTTCTACCACTCTTTCTCCTTTGAGACTGTTCTTTCATACCTGTTCCATTTGTCCAGATTCCTATTAGCTTTTAAACAGCGAATGCCTAATCTAAAATGTAAAATTTTTGTCTTCCTTCAACTCATTTCCTTATCATTTTTTGTTGCCTTTGACTCAGCAACTTTTTTTCTCCTGGTATTTTACTGAAGAACCCAGGATTGGCCCAATCACTAGAGCATCTTGCTCCGGGTCCATCAGAAGGGACTCTCGCTTCTCTACTTTGTGGCTTAATGTCTAACTCAGAAACTGCATGAGTGAGAAAGGAAAGACCATCAGAGAAACTGCTGCACATGTGGTTTAGTAGATTAGACTAAGTACTCTGGAGTGAGGACCAATCACCTTTTTTTTTTTTTTTTTTGGTGAGGGAGATCAGCCCTGAGCTAACATCCGTGCTAATCCTCCTCTTTTTGCTGAGGAAGACCGGCTGTGAGCTAACATCTGTTGCCAATCCTCCTCCTTTTTTTCTTCCCCAAAGCCCCAGTAGATATTTGTATGTCATAGTTGCACATCCTTCCGGTTGCTGTATGTGGGATGCGGCCTCAGCATGGCCGGAGAAGCGGTGCGTCGGTGCGCGCCCGGGACCGAACTGGGTCCGCCAGTAGTGGAGTGCGCCCACTTAACCGCTAAGCCACGGGGCCGGCCCCCCAATCACTTTTAATCTTAGTTATGCCAATGACTCCTTGGATAAGCCAAGGAAAATTATATGAAGTCCAGCATGAAAAATGTACATCAGCAGACACCCTCTTGCTTTCTATTTCCCTATTTCCAGAGACTAATCTGGATTTGGGCTTTGTCCAGGAGGGATTCTAAGGAGACTAGGAGCAATTTTGGAGCACAGACCATGTTCTAAAAGGCAGGCTACTGGGTTCTTACTCTATCTTTGGTCTTTTTTTTTTTTTTTTAATTTTTTAAAATTTTATTTATTTATTTTTCCCCCAAAGCCCCAGTAGAGAGTTTTATGTCATAGTTGCACATCCTTCTAGTTGCTGTATGTGCGACACGGCCTCAGCATGGCCAGAGAAGCGGTGCGTCGGTGTGCACCCGGGATCCGAACCCAGGCCGCCAGCAGCGGAGCGCGCGCACTTAACCGCTAAGCCACGGGGCCGGCCCTATCTTTCGTCTTTAAGACACACCAAAGCTATTTGTCATTCTTAGAAGCAAAGAAATCTTGGAATAGCACAATGTTTCAGAGCTAAATTTGGGTTCTCAGGATTATTCTAGGTGGGCATAAACTCTTTATCCAGATGTTTTCTGGAATGTTTGAGAAAGACCTGGGAATTAAGGACAAAGTGACAAATGCCTAAGCATTTTATTGGTTGTTTTTTTAATCCATGTTTTTAAACTTCCATTCTCCATTTATACAAAATGAGAACAAGTAGCATGCTAGGTTCTGTAAAGAATTGAGAGACATCAAATTAAATATACTATGATTTTGGATTTATGTAGCCCTTTCCCCTCCGAAGTACACAAAGAAATTACTTATTTCCAAAGAGCAGTGATATATTTATTTTTCAAATCTAATTAGTATAATTCTTGAAGACAGGTTAGCTAGCTATTCTAAAATAACACCCCCTCCCTCCATTTTCCTCATGTTGGAGGAGCTTCTATTAAGTAGCACCTACCATTTTAAAAAATCAGGCAAATATATTATTTATTATGAGACACCAAAAATGATAAAGATGTCAATTTTGACTAAGTTATATCAATGCTATTAGAAACTGATGAGTAATTGAAAACTGGCAACTTTTTTTTTTGAGGACTTAGAATAGGACCAGAATTGGCAAATCAGTACCTTGTTAATGACTGAGGATTTTAAATACGAGAATCTAATTAGAGTGCAATTTTTGTATAAAAGGTGCTCAAAACTCAAAGATAAATAATACTAAATTGCTATTTCAGGGACATACTTCATATATTACTCATGAAGGGTGTAGCTGGAGGAAGTTAGGGATTTAGTGGAAAGCAAATTGTGCTAAAAAGCATTGACTACTGTAGAAGTGCTTGAGTTTCAGGAAGAGCAGACAGCTTATGTTTATATGAAACATTTCTCTCCCTAGGCTCCAAAGATGGGTATTCCTGTGGAATCACCTACTTCCCCTGAATCTAAAGACAACATGGTAGATTTAGCATCTCAACTGAAGGGAACTAAGGTTAGACAATTACTTTCATTTGATTCATTAGGTTAAAAGAATGAAAATAACAATGAGTTAATTTCTCTATTTTTAACCCCCTTAATGAAACTGAATTTCAATACAGTGTTGGTTCTTTAATAAGGAATCTTTATTGTACTATTTGATCTGTTTCTAACAAAGTTCGACATTTGGCTATATGTAATTAGGTTCCAATTTTTCCCTCTTGAATCCTGTGCCAGAATGAAGTAGTTGTTATGAGTTCCTGGTAGTCATGGCAGTGTGATTATAGATCTAATACGTATGTTGCTTTAAATCAGTGACCAAACTCAGTTCTAATGTTTAAGGATGAAGAATTTATGAAACTACCACCAGTTACATCATCACACATACCACCATCAACACCTGTTTCATTACCTAAAGGATCCATCACTTCTGCTAAAGAAGCTGTAAGTATCTAAAAAAAGAAAACCCTTTCCCTCTAGTTATTTTTAAGGGCAGTGAGAATCTAGAATTATAACTATTGCAAAACACTGCACAGTTCTTCCTGTCATCCAAACAGGAAGTTGTAGGCTGAATCTTAGTCATCTTATAACCACTACATTTTTTGAACTCAATTATCCAAAAGCAAAAAAAAAACCTTATCAACCAATGCAATCCTGGATCAGACCTAAACACGTTAAGTCTAGAAGCTAATTACAATATAGGCAGATTCTTATTTTCTTTTGCACCAGATGGAAATAGTTCCCATATGTTGTGTATTTCACACAGGCTTCTGATGTCAGGAAATACTAGCAGGAAAGCAATTTAAATCTTAAGAGAAATGCATGTAAATAAGAAATTACTTATCTATCCACTTTTCCCATTTGGGTGAAGGAGTCTGGGGCAAGAGCAGAAAGCATGATACAAGTAAACAGTAGGGGGTCATGAGAGAGTTGAATTGTAGAGTGGCTTTTCTGGCTCCTGAGGATCAAAGAAGAGAACCTGTGAATACAAATGGGGTAACCAGCCAGGAGCCTTGTTTGCATGTCTTATTTTTATTACCAAGGTAAATTATAAATTCAGATTTGACTTTGTGGAATGTGATTATTTTGATTAAGAAAACAAAAAAGGGTTTCCTAAAGAACTTAGACGTCTAAATGTGACCAGTGCCTAAAGTCTTGATCTTTTGTACCTAGACACTCCAGGCCAAATCACAAAAGACGGCCCAGAACAGCAAGGCTAGTTCAAAAGGAGCGTAAGGACTACTGGAGGATGAAGCTCACTATCTCCAGCTTCCTGCCCCCAGCAGTGGCATCTATAAAGGACCTCCCAGCTAAGACTGTCTGTGGCTGGTTTGAGAAAAGAGGATCAGCCATTTAGTCCTTGGGGTAGTCCTTGAGGCCTTGTAACCATTCAGATGATGTCAGCAGTGAGACCAAGTTCAGACCACTTAGAAAAATATAATTACAAAGTCCATTTCCTCTGTACCCTTATGTCATCCCACCAAACTTTGTGTAAAGCCCCCACCCCGTTGTTTTTAAATAGCTTCATATTTGTGCACATGTCCTTTAAGGAAGGAAATTTTTGGCATAATGGAACTGGCTTGGCACCTTAGATACCTCTGCCTCCTATAGCTTGGGAACCCGAGTAAGAACTTGGAAACTCCAAAAACCATCGTAAGAGCATCTGACCAGCTTTTTCAGAGTGATCCATCAGTAGGAATAGAGCCCTGGAAACCAAGCACCTTATGAGATGGAATGGATGTACTCCCCAATAAGGTCTTTCTGGATAAAAAGAAGAAAAAGGTCCTTGGAGGAGAAAATGGGGAGTTAAACAGACTGGCAATCAAAAAGGTTTGGCTGCTGCTTGGCTGTTCTGAGACATCCTCCTCTTGGGCCCGCAGAGGCTGCAGAAATCTGGGAGGCTGCCACTATTCTAGCACATATGGCTTTCATTAGCCACTATTTTGCTAGGAAACATAATTAAGGGTTTAAGACTTAACCATTTGTTTGCGCTGGGTGTGTTTTTCTGGTCTGTTTGTCTTTCACAAACAAGACTATTTGTTAGTCATAGGGGTTGTTAAGTCTGATATAATCCCTATGCTATCCAGTAATAAGTATTATGTTCAGATATTTACATTCGGTGTTTTCAGTATTGTCAATACTGAAGAAACATAATAAATCGATTGCCATGCAGCTGACCAACAGCTTTCTTTCCTTGGGGAGTGCTTAGAAGGGAAAAGGTATTTCAGCCTGCGGGTGATGAAATTAGATTTCTTTACTTGCTGTGAAATTGAAAGCAGTTAGATGGGAGTCAATTAAACCAAGTAAAACTCAAATCTCCCTGTCTGGGATCACCTCAACGAGGAATGTCATCACACTTCACAGCAAGGATATGCACTTTAAAATGCTTCCTCACTCTCCTCTCCACCAGAGGACAAGCCTCACCACGTTCTGCTGATGAACTCCTTCTCGAGAACAATGAATCCCTAGTATGTAGCAGTCCGTGGACCTCACCATCGGCCTAGCAAGGTGATTCACAATAAATTTTCCCATTTTTAAAATGAGTGTTTAATTAGTTCACATTTCAGATGTTGAATGCAGGAAAGGGATTAGCCAGTTAACTTGCTCAATCCTTCTTTAGCTGAATGATTCATATGAACTGTTGGGCTGCTCTACAATTCTTTCTGGTGTTCCCTATGAGCAGAGTGAGATTGGTCAGGTCAAGGAGCCCCTGGTCACTTTTGGCCCCAGCTGGCCTTCACCCATTTTTGCTTCATAAATAGGCATCTAATACAGTTGATGCACCTCTCTTCCCATTCTTGTGATAGTAGCTCAGAGAAGTCAAGGCTGTTTCTTTGTTCTCATCACTTAGAGCCTTGGCTGTTGGGTTCCATGGTGGTTAGATGTAGCCCTGTGCTGAAACTGGAGCTAGCGGTCTTCTGGTAAATGATTACCAACCAACTCGGTGGGAGTGGGGTGGCCGACTGGCAGCATTTGCAGATTCCAGTGATGTAAATACTCCCACATGACTGATTTCAAGCTACCAATAGTAGATCACTTAACGACACAGAGTTGGGAAGAGACGCACACCATCAGCTCGAGAGCCAGCTCCAGCACGCCACTGGCCCGAGCCCTCCTGGAGTAACAAGAGACAATTAAACTTATTGTTGGCGTGTTCATTAAATGTATCACTTCTCTGCACCAATATAGACATCTGGGAGGCAGAGCAGTATAAATGGTCCTGAATACTGTTAGGTGCCAACCTAGAGAGAACTTGCTCCAGACTGAGTCTTCCTGAACATCTGGGTTCTTGCTGCTCGTCCCTCTCCCTGGCTCTCATCAGCTGAGGGAATGGAAGGCTATGCCAGGTTGCTACGAAGAGGTCTGCTTTCCCTGCTCCCTGCTCTTCCCTACAGATGCACAAACCTTAGCTGTACCAGCTGCTAATAATCTCATGGAATATAATTTTAGGCGTTTTCTAAAACCCAGCCTCAGTGGTGATGTCAGACTTGGCCTGAGTCTTAGACACTGAGGAGGATTCTGCTACAGCACAGAGGTGTTGGTGGCACTTGATGTTTACAACCCTGCACTCGTGCCATGTCTAATTCTGTACTTCAGTCATTACAACTCATATTGGTGATACCAAATCAATTCTGTGTGATGCCAAAACCTAGGCTAAAGATTTCCCAGTCACTACCAGTACACACCTGTAAGTAAGATCAGACTACACGGGACTGTAAAGAGCAGGCTGGCACATTATCTAATGTTGACTGAGACTTTGGCCTGCTGGCTCCTCCCAGTGGCGGCTTATAAACACAGCGACTTCACTGTCATTGAGATGGACTTCTTGCTTCATCTGAGGTTCAATCTTACTTACCTGAGATCAATACATTACATTAGCAGTGCCAAGGGACTGATGGTCCCCAGCCTATGGCAATTAGAAAAGGCGGAAAGGCAGTACTGATTAATGCTGTGGTGATCCCAGGCCCCAATCTTTTAACCCTCAGGAAACCAGACCAACTCAGTGCCTTGACAGCATGACATCTTCATTAGATAAACTGGATTCCTTTCCTCAGGAGACCCAATCTGGTCATCTAAGTAAAATGGCCATTTCATTTTCTCTCAGGTCAATTTCACTATCTTTTATTTGACAGCCAGCTCAGTCTCTGGGGAAAATCGTGGGTGATTTGAGTACTAACAGCAAGGACATCACTGTTATAATAAGAGTGCCTTCTATTTCTCCAGCACCTCTTCTGAAGGCATATAAAGCCCTTTATAGATCCTCCATCCATTCATACAACATTGCTTCAAGGGAGGGCCAAGGCAGAAATTATCATCACTATTTTACAAGGAGAGACAGCATTATAAGCTCTCAAAAGCAAATGGTTTTTAGAGCTAAAATTCATTTCCTGGCTCTGTTGACCAAATCATGCCTTCTTTAAACCCATAAACACAAACTGTAATATGTTGACAGTTGCATATTTACAGAGAGAGACAAGGATAAGGGAGAACTTTACAATAGTGGCCAACATTGTAGCTGCCAACAAATAGCTAGCTCAGAAAGGAAACTTTGAGCAGCAATCCCATTTTCCCTATAGAAATGAAAGCACATTGAACTTTCTTTTGTATTCAAAGTAATCCAGCAAAAAGGAAGCTTTCGGTATAGAGGCTGAGTCCTGGTAGCTTGAGCACTAAGGTCCGGAGGAGCCAAGACCCACTTGGTGAGTGCAATGATAACCAGCAGGTGGCAGAGGAAGTAAATGTCCAAGCAGCCAAAAAACAAACATTCAGAGAATTTTTCCCTTTCCTGAGGGATGGGGTGGAATTTGTACAGGAAGAACTCTAGGAAGCCAAGATCTGTGATAGTCCCAACACATGCAGCCTGGTCACATGGATACAGGTAGAATGGTGTGGGGAGGATCAGAGCAGGCTGGGAAACATGAAGGAAGGGACCTGAATGTAAAACTAGTCTTAGGTGACAAGTTTCCCTCATACAGAAACGCAGGCAAAACCACCACACAGAGGGGGTAGGTGCATATCTAGATTTGAGTTTCTGCAAGCCCTTGTGGAAAATCCTTAGCATTCCCCTTAATCACTTTAGCTCTACCCCGTGGCTATTCTGAGGTAGGCCCCCAGCTCCCTCTCTGACCCTCCGACCCCACCCAACCCCACCAGTTTCCTCTCAGGAAGCAATCTGCGGTTGAGGGCGGCCGGGCCTTGGCTCTGGGCCCAGCGCCTCTGGTGCACTGACAGGAGGCCCCTGCCTGTTACACAGACGTCTTCTCTTCCTGCCTTTCCAAAAGCATCGGAGAGGTAGGAGGTTTGTCCCGGAGGTCTCGGTGCAGGACCTAAGAGGAAGAGGTTAGGAGGAAACTGCAGGGTGCGTGCAGTGCCCTCTGGACAGACACAGCCCCAGGGCCCGTTAGCCTGGCTCCTTTTCAGCTGACATTCTCTCCCTTCTCACACAGCCCATATAAAAATGAAGCAGCAGCAATTTTTATTGAGGGACCTAAACTGAAAATAGGTTTAGAACATAATTTAAAAAAATAAAACAGCAAAAGTAGCAAAAAATATATGACCTTTTTAAAAACATTTTCCTTTTTTTTCTTTTTTCTTTGTTTTTAATATATAGCAACTGATGCCTCCCAGCCACCAGGAGCATCTTACCCAACGGGTAAATCTCTGGTAACGACCCTTTTAAAAAGACATGTAAATATATACTCAGATTTATACACTTTGTGTTTTCTTCATAGCTATGTACAAAGCCCCCAGTTCGGGGCTGGGCCCCAGGGCCACGACACTGCTCCCAGCCTTCGCCTCCCCATCCTCTGGTACCAGGTATTTGGTCAGCAAAGCAAATTAGTATCGGAATTAATAAGCCACTGGCACCATCCATCTGGAGCAGAGGTGGCCTTCAAGGAGGCCTGAAGCACTGGCCTCCTCTCACTACTGCTGTAGCCCTGAGGGCGAGGCACCTGCCACCAAAACACAGGGGCTTACGGGTTATGGCAAAGCAGACAAAACCAACACGGGAAAGCTCCGTCAGCTCTCACTTGCATGCCTGCTCAGCTCCCACTCCCCAACCCTCCAGGCAGTGCCAAGGGGCAGGGAGGGGTCTTGGTCCAACATCTAGGAGGGAACAAAGTGGCCATCAGCAAGTACCTGCCTCTCTGCTCCCCTCTCTCACAAGCAGGTTCAGAGGAGGAGGAGGAGGAAGAGAGGTGAGCTCAGTGGGGTGAAGGCAGGCCAAACAGGAAGGCCTCAAGTAGGCGGCTGGCTCCTGCCAGCAGGAAGGGGGCAAAAGGGAAGGCAGTGAGTCCAACAGGGAGTGGTGGGTGAAGGTTACAGCTGATGATGGAGTTTGGGGAGGGGGAGTGCTGGGGTGCTAGTCAGCGTCGTTTGAGTCCACCATTGGCAAGCTGGGCTGGGTGTCGGGGCAGACAGGGCTCCTCAGGCAATGGCTCATGAGAGAAAACGGAATCCTCCCCTGAGGAACAGGTAGAGCTTCGGGTGTCGGGAAAGCTGGGA